GGTGATCCTGGGAAGGCCATATCGGGGGTGATCTGTGGGCTCCCCACACCAGGAAGACATGGACTTACTGAAGCAGGTCCACAAAGTGAAAGGCCACAAAGATGATTGCGATATTGGAGCATGCGACATGCCAAGGGAGGCTGAGAGAGCTGGGACTGTGCAGCCTGGAGAAGAGGAGTCTCAGGAGGATCTTTTCGATGTGTATAAATACCTGATAGGGATGTGCAAAGAAGATGGAGCCAGACTCTTCTTCGTAGTGCCTACTGACAGTACAAGAGGCAATGGGCACAAGCTGAAATATGAGAAAGTCAGCTTAAACATGAGAAAAAATCTTTTCTACTGCGGGAGTGACCAGGTTCTGGAACAAGCAGGCAGGCAGGTTGTGGGGTCTCCAACCCATCTGAACGAGGACCTGTAAGTGACCCTGTGGTAAGCAGGTCTCCAGAGTTGGACTAGAAGGTCTCCAGAGGTCCCTCCCAGCTGTGACTCTATGATCGTTCCCTCGGGCTTTGGGCAGTTGTATACCTTCCCATTCGCTTATCCCAAAGGGGAGCTTGGTGGGTCTGAGTTTGGCAATTTTTTTTAAATTGGCCACTGCGTTGTGGTATGCTGTGGTTTGCAAAGCTATTCCAGAGTCAAGATTAGTTTAGCAAACAGCTTCTTAATCATTTGAATATTATAGTAATATGTGTGTATAAACAATATGTGTATATATGTAGTAATATATTGACAGTTGTGTATTAAAAAAAAAGCGTAGAAAATGCTGTGAAGGAAAATCAGTGGGTGATGAGAAGCAATATCTGTTAACTTAATTGATTTGTTAAGATCCAGATATTCAAGTCCCGGGTTCTTAACATCCCCATCTGTCCTGGAGAGTGAATAGTTACTGGAATCATTGCTAATCACTCTTAAAGTTGGATTAACTTGCTATAAAACTTGCTTGGCAGCTTTGAATAGGGACTAACTGTTTTTAAACATTGGAAAAAGTGAGAAAAGCCCAATCAAGCAAATCCTACAAAACAAGGGAATCCTTCTCTTTGCTCTGAGACTTTCCCAGTTGAATCTGCAGCTGGACATGATGCGTTCTGTTACTGAGATGAGTTTTTGTTTCTAGTTTACTTGCATGATTCAGCATTTTCGGTTGTCAGTAGTTTTATGGTAACCTGCAGCAGTAATAGATCAAGTTTCAGTTACTGAGATAAATTCAGATCTGAAGTGAGTGGCATATCTCATGAGTGGGCAAGGTTGAATGTTTAGACAGTTGATGTTAGTCAAGGGAAGTTCTGTTACATGTCTGACTGGCTGGCTTAAAATCCATGGACATACTTCTGAGAAAGACTTTGAAGATATATCTGAACTGTTGCACAGAAAAAGAAGAAAATTCCCAAGATCTTGCTGTATATTTTTCCTATGTGCTTTTTTCCTCCTTTATCTTCTTTTAAAAATTCAAATACTTAATCACATTAGATTTTTTTTTTTTTTTTTTTACCAGCAGGAGACACATATTTCATTCGAAAGAATTTCTGTGTGTTTACTGTTAGTAAATATTTTTATTCTTTTCATAGAAAAGTTAGTCTTTTGATATATGCTGCTACCCATGATTTTTCTTTGTAAGGAACCTATTTATTTTGGTTGTATTGTGATACACTAGGCAGAAGTGTGTTCTTCCAGTTAAAATTAACTTATGTCATCTAGGCACAGAAGGTCCTGGTGTCAGTGTCTCAGAGGAGAGACAGAGTCCTGCTGAGAGTAGTGGCATAACCATCATCTATAATCCTTATGCTTCCCTTTCTATTGAACAACAAAGGCAAAAGCTGCCTGTTTTTAAGGTACAGAAGTTCTTTTTGGTATATTAAATCTGTTGCACGATGTCTGGCTCTTGTGCCTTTTTTTGAAAGAGCAGTGTAGAATCACTTTACAACATAAAGCAATAATTTTATGACCTTGCTCTTTTTATTTGTTGGAATTGGTGGTCCTGTTTGACAACTGTAACTGACAGTTTTACAGGCTTTATAGTTTTATGTTAATTACTATATGTCGTGCATGTCATTTATAGATTTTAAAGAACTGTTTAGCTTTTGGCAGTAAACTCCATGTAAAATGAATTTACTGTATCTGTTAGATATGTAAATATTGTCATTTTAATTATTTTCTTATTTTTGTACACATCTGGTTTTGATACTTAAGTGTCATCTTCTCTTTCAGCTAAGAAATCACATACTTTATCTAGTGGAGAACTATCAAACTCTGGTGATTGTTGGGGAAACAGGTTGTGGGAAATCAACGCAGATTCCACAAGTAAGTGTCTGTTTAACTTGGTAAAATCAGGTATTCCTTCAGGGGATTTTACATGAAAAGTTAAACCAGTAATCCAGAACTGCACTGTGAGAATGGAATTCACCTATACTCGTGTGTGTGACCAAAAGGAGAGAAATATAAGGCTTCATATTAGATAGCAGGAGCTGGTATATCGGTAATATAAAACCTTCTTGCACTACAGGAAAGGACCATACAGAACAAATAAGTTTATGCTGGTACAAATAGTAGTCACTGTACTATAGTAGATGTTTATTACTCTCTCAGAATCATGTTTAAAATTTTGTTGAGAGTATGTTTCTTAAGAAGGAAAAAAGGTACGATTTTCTTATGAGCTTTCCTCTTGGAAATTTTTGGAATATTATATATTTTTGTGGTTTTGTAAAATTTTCTCTCTTGTGATGGGAATGAAAAAAGTCTGAGAATGTTTCAAAATTCATTCCTGATTTTAACTTTAAAAATTGCAGACTAATGATGAATGTCATCTGCTTCAGTGTGAGCGCAGGGTGGTGAAACACTGGCATAGGTTGCCCAAAGAGGTGGTAGATGCCCCATCCCTGGCAACATTCAAGGTCAGGTTGGATGGGGCTCTGAGCAAACTGATCTAGTTGAAGATGTCCCTGACCATGGCATTGGGCGTGGACTAGATGATCTTTAAAGGTCCCTTCCAACCCAAACTATTCTATGATTCTATGACTTGTGCTGCTTAACTTTTTCCCTTAAAGGGGTTTTAAAATAAAGGAAAGAAAAGAAAAAAATGAAGTAGTTCAAAAATACTTAAGACCCAAAGAACTGCTCTTAGATGCTTTCTGAAAGCTTATGTGCTTAGGAAGTAGGTATTGTATTATATTAGTTTTAATGGTGAGATTAATAATGCACAAAATCTCCAAGTAACTGATTTGCCTAAGGTCATGCATCAGTTAGTGTCAGAACCAGGAAAAAGTACGTAGTGTGGAGAACTAACACCTTGCTGTAGTCGCAGCATGACCAAGTAATTTCTTATCCTCAATGTTTCTTTGCAGTACCTAGCAGAAGCTGGCTGGACAGCCGAAGGAAGAGTTGTTGGAGTGACGCAGCCTCGTCGGGTTGCTGCTGTTTCAGTGAGTTTCTCTGTGTCCAGATTTTCCCAGTTTGTTGTCATTATAACCTCCAGTTTATTAGCAGGTTTTGCTGAATAGCAGGAATCACAACTGCATGAGCTCCTGAATGAATAGATGTTTCTGCTTATCTTCCTCACAGAATTGCTGGTACTATATGTTGAATTCAACCTGATTAGTAGGTCTTGCCAAAGACTCCAAGTCCAGAATTGCAGATGTAGAAGCTCTGAAATAAAATTGAGTGGTATCAGCAGAACTGTGTACGGAAGTTAGGGCTGTGCAGGGTTGAGTTATGATTGACTCTGGACTAGAACTGTGCTTGTGTGACCCTTAACCTCTTTCACAAAGTGAAGTAGTGATGTAAATCTGTGTGTAGTAACATAGCCAGTGGAAGAAAGAGGAGGTTGTGTATCTCTTTCTAGCAATTAATACCTAGTTGTCTTGAATCTTTTTTCCATGGTTTTTTTTTTTTTGTGGTGGTTGTTGTGGGGTTTTTTTGTGTTTCCCCTTGTAAGAGTATCGGGGAGAAGAAGAGGCAATTTTATTGTGAGAAATCTTTTCATGTACATCGTATGTCTAGGAGAGCATAATGTCAGCTAGTTGTACTATGAGAGGAAGAAGAGGGGATACTGAGGGCAACAACTTGTACTTTCTGGTAATAGTCTGCACAGAAAGCATCCTGCTGCCAAACACTGGCTTGGTGGGCTGAAGTTTCTGCTGTAGCATTCTTTTTGTACAGAAAACTGAGGTGCCATTTTGTAATCCTCGTTTTGCCTGTTCTTTAAAATGTATTAAACTGTACCTGCAACAAATCAGCTTATGCCTCTGGTAAAAATGTAGTAGACTGAACAGCTGTACAACTTGCCGTTTCATCTCATCCAGTATTCTTTGACCAGATCCAACATGGTTAAGGAAACAGTCTCTAGCAGTGATCTGCATCTTGTGCTTTGGGCAGTCTGCCTGCAGTGTCCTTCCTTTTCTCCTTCATAGGACATCCAGCTGACAGTGCACAGTTCTGCAGGAGATGTTGTGTGTACTGCAATGATTTCTCACTACAAACTTACTTCTCTTTTCCCTTTGACGTCTTAACACGTTGTTTTTAAGCCTAAAATAAAAAGATTACTCAATTAGAGCTTAGTATATAGACACAGTAGGATTTTTCTTCAAGAATGTTGTTGCAAACTGCCTGGACTGTATGGCTGTTGCAGGGAGATGAGAGATACAGTTGATGATTTATTGCTTTGTCTTGAACTGAAAGTGATCTTTTATTTTAATTGGTGCTTATCTGCTTATCTGCCTTCCCATCTAGAGTATGGGGGTTGTCAGAAGTAAAGACACTTCACCTTATGCAGAGGCATAAGGTGTAATTTAGAAATTCCTGAACTTATGCTTGCATTACCCGGACTGACAATTATCCTGAATGCTTGGACTGAAAATGATGGAGTGATAAGATTCCAAGTGCAGTCTATTACCCATACTGACAATTATCCTGAATGCTTGGGCTGAAAGTGATGGAGTGATAAGATTCCAAGTGCAGTCATGAATTCACTGCCTGTCGGTATGGTTTAGAATATCACTCAAATGGCGGAAAGTAGCTTGCTCTTGGAATTCTACTAGGACTAACGTATGTATTGTGGAGTTTTATTGTGTCTTTAGCTATTAAATATCTTCATAGCTTGCTATGGCCTGATAATACCTAATATTCTGTAAAATAAGTCTGAATAACTCAGAATTTTTAGCTAAAGCAGCTATTGGCTTAAAACTGCCTCAGGGTAGTACTGTTCCAAACACTGTTGCTTCTTTTAATTATTCTGCCAGTTCTCTGTCTGTTTTCTAAATAAAAGATTCTGTATTATGAAAAGTACAGTAGCATCTTTATTTAAAAAAAAAAAGGGTGAGTAAGTTCAGGGACAGATCAGCTTAACTGTTAACTTTTTCTGCATGCCATATACCTGTACTCTTTTCCTTTTTGCATGCCAATTGTGTTCTTAAATTGCACTCGCACAACTGCTGGTACGTGGCCCTTCCCCAGCGTTGTGACTGGTTGGGTGGCTGCCTTTGTAGGTCTGTTGGAGTACTTATCACAGAAAGGTACCTCTGTAGCTTTCCTGAGTAGAAGCAGTGTGAAACAGATTTATTAAGTTACACTAAAACATTTTAAAAGTATTTACCACTTGTATGTTTCAGTATGCGCTGTTATGTCAAACAGAATTTTGTGTTTGAACGAGAACAAATAATTCCTTGGAAGCATTGGCTCTGTTCCTGTTTTGATGCCAGTTCTCTATGGACAAAATAACGATACAATGAAGAGTTGTGCTGTGAGCTGTCTCTTGTTTATAAAAATCTCTTTTCTCAGGTTGCAGGCCGAGTTGCCGATGAAAGAGGTGCAGTGTTGGGGCATGAAGTTGGATATTGTATTCGGTTTGATGACTGCACGGATCCACAGGCTACAAGAATTAAGGTGAAACATTAACATTATGTAGTTACTCTGAAAGGCTTAGCTGAAACTCTTCAAGTACTTTTGAAAAATTAATGAGAACCTTGTGATGCCCAGTAAAGAGAATTGATAGCATTCCAGTTTTCCAGGTGGGTATTCCAAAAGTGTGCCTGAAATGGCTGTGGCTATGCAAACCTTCATAAAACGAGTATGTGTTTTATTCTGTAGTCTGGCAGCCACCACTTTAAAACTAAAGGAGGTTTTCAAGGTAGGTATGGCCAGATATTGGTACAGTGCTAGTGTGACCTGATATGTCACTCAAAGTCATAGTGAAAGGCTGCAGTGAATCACAGCTAAAGTATCCTCACGACCCTAAAAGTAGATTTTGATTAAAAGCGCAGATAAAATATAAGATGAGTAGGCTAACTGAGAGTCATTTGATGTGGATTAAATAGCAAGCTTTGCAGCTGTTCTTTAGTGCTGTGAGCAATATTAATGTTGCTTGTGTTGGTACAGATGAGAGTTTGCTTTAGTCTTGCTGGAATAGCAATGATGAAGAATGAGACAATTTACTTTGATTTTTTTTTTCTGAGGCTAGTAGCCCTTTTAAAGTGAAAGAAATGGAGACGTTTGTTCATTAAATGCAGCTGAAATATTTTTTTTTATTTTGAGCGTGATGGTTAATCCTTTGGAATTGGAAATTTGGAGGTTTTTACCTTGCACACGAGTTTTTGCCTAGTTCAAGGCTACAGCTGGAGTCCCAGGTCAAACTACTGTTTGATGGCTACATGAAAAGGAGGCTGAGGGGAGACCTTATCGCTCTCTACAACTACCTGAAAGGAAGTTGTAGCGAGGTGGGGGTCGGTCTCTTCTCCCAAGTAACAAGTGATAGGACAAGATGAAATGACCTCAAGTTGTGCCAGGGGAGGTTTAGATTGGATATTAGGAGAAATTTCTTCACCGAAAGTGTTGTCAAGCATCGGAACGGGCTGCCCAGGGAAGTGGTCGAGTCACCATCCCTGGAGATATTTAAAAGACGTGTAGATGTGGTGCTTAGGGACATGGTTTAGTGGTGGACTTGGCAGTGCTAGGTTAATGGTTGGACTTGATGATTTTAAAGGTCTTTTCCAACCTAAGCAATTCTATGATTCTATGATTCTACAGCTGGTGGGTTTCCACTGGCTGGTAGGAAGAAAGTATTAAATTAAAATGTTGCATTTTGTTGAAATGTTAAGGTTTGTGTTCTGGTCAGAAGTGTGTGATAGATGTTAAGTAGCCTACTTCAAGAGGGTCAAGACTGGATTGACACAGAATGTTATTGGTAGAGCAGGTTTAGCCACACAGACAAGAGTGAAGAAAGTTCTATTGCCATGTTCCAGTGCTGCCAATCTGTTATATTTTTTCTGTTATTATTTTCAGTACAAAACCCCCTAATTTTAGAAGATTCAATACTGATTAAAAAGCAATCACTCTGCTTATCTCTGAGTTAGAACTCAGAAATACGTATTTGGCTTCCATAGCTGAAAATTGATCAATTTAACAGATTGTTAGAAAATTAAAGGCAAGGAAAAATTCAGGCAAAAGCCTGTAAAATCATCTTTAAAAATCACATGGGTGATCAAGACTACCTGGTAGGGTTTTTTTTACATTTTTCTTTGCATTCACTTTTAGTTTCTAACTGATGGTATGCTGGTGAGGGAGATGATGGCTGATCCTTTATTAACAAGATACAGGTAAGGAAACATGGAGTGAATGCTTGCTGAAGTGTAATTTGGTAAACAGCTGCATTTTTTTAGACTGAGGTGTGGTTATTATAAATTAAATACCAAAAGATGTGAAAATTATTTTAGGAGTTTGACTTCTTTATGTTGTAAAGACTGTTAGAAAATCAGTTGATCATTGCAACACCAAACCCAGCAGGATTTGGTACTGTGGTTTTGGAACAAAAGCTAAATGGGCCTCATGGAGTCTGAATTGTTTCATTTACTAGTTTTAAATTCACTTTTTCTTTCTGATGCAAATAAAATAAAAAAAAAAAATCAGCAACAAACACAGGCTATTCTGGTATCCAGAAAACCTAAGCATCTATGGTAAAGACAGACCTTTTTTTTTCTACCCCTTTCCAAAAGCTAGCCTGAATAAAGAACAGTATGTATGTACCACATGGTGTTATCTACATTTTTCTCCCTACTTCATCGCTGTGCTTTTTTTAACTTCCACAGTTTTCTAAGTGGATGTAAACAGAATCAGCAGCAGATTTCAAATATTTCTTCTAGAAGACAGGAAGACACTGATTAGAGCATCAATTAAACCATTTCTGAAATCTTATCTTTCTGCTTTATTCACAGTGTCCTCATGCTGGATGAAGCCCATGAAAGGACTCTTTATACAGATATTGCCATTGGCTTACTAAAAAAGGTTATTTTTTGTAATGTTCTCTGTAACTGTTTTCATTTTCATCCTTTTCGTTAAACCTCTGATCCTGATGGCAGATTAGTGAATCCATTTGAGAGAGGGTGATTTCTAGTTCCTCATTTATCTTACAGCCTATTGTACATACCCAGCTATTTACTTCAGACATCTGACATTCAGGATCCTCTATTTCCTCCTCCTGATGATGAAATGTCTCCTTAGATGATATTAGCAAAAAGGTAGTCTTCATTCTGCTGCTGCTGATCATGTGAAGTTGTTGTTCACTTTCAACCTACTAAAGATCCGACTCCCACCAGAAATTAAGAGTAAGCTATAATGATTACAGACTGAATGCCCTTAAAATGAATATATAAAACTCTAAAAGTCATCAGGTTGTTAGATCTATGGGGTGATACAGGTGCTTCAGTTCATCAGCTGTCTTGTAGTTTCAAAGTATTTTTAAAGAGAAGTTACTGGTAATCTGGATGCTCTAAAACTTGGTTCTAGCCTTATATCTCAGAAAATAGTTTTTACTCTGGATGTTCTTTGTCTCTATCCTAGGTTCAAAAGAAGCGTGGGGATCTTCGACTGATTGTGGCTTCAGCCACCTTGGATGCAGAGGTATAGCTCGCAGATTTGGTTTGAAATGAGGTGACCTTAAGTGGCAGCTCCACTTCTATTTATGTACAGCTTATCTTCTGTGCTGCATGCTGCTTGCTTCTTGTGAAGCATTACTGCTGTTTGAGTGGTGAAGAAGAGAGGAAGGAGTACAGGAAAAAAATCTGCTGTAGTTAAGTTGCTGTGTTTGATTTTCATTTTGTATTAGCAAACTTTTTTGGAAGTGAATTTAAATATGATCTGCTTTTCATATATTTATGCCTTTTTTCCTCTTATTGGTATTGTTGTATAAAAAGGTGTTCTCTTGGCTTAATGTAGTCTAGGAAGAGACATTGGGTTAGGTCTGTTTTGCTGATAGCAATAATTTGAGACAACTGTAGACCAGTAAAAATAAGTGATAAATGAGTAGATTTAATTTCAGCGAGATCTTCCTAGTTCCCTGATTGACTTGTGGCCTGTGGAAACTTACGTAACTTACTAAAAACGTTGTTAATTTAATTTTGAGTAGGAACAGAAGAAATGCTCTCCTAGATCAGAGCAGTGTTTCATCCAGCCCGGTGTTCTGTCTGTAGCAGCAGCAACAGGAGATGCTGTTTAGAGGGAGCATATGAGCCTGTCCACCTGCTGTGGGTCCGTTCTCTTTGAGCTGCTTCAGCATCTGCAATGGTTGTAATAGAGATATTGGACAGTACATTCCTGC